GTGCTTAACACTGAGCTAGTGATAGCTCTGCACATGTGGAAACCTAATTATTTAACCAAATCAAGGTTTAAATTTGGAGGTAGCTGACTCAGCAAATCCCTCACCCTTATCTCACTAGAATTCCAAAGCCCATTTCTGTTAATCAGCTCCTCACAGCAGGAAAATGAGTGATCTCCAGCATTCTCTCTCAGGGTTATCAGCATCAAAAAGCCCAGATATTGACAGAGAACTCTACAAAAAGTTTAATATCAACTGGAGCTGTTACTTTCTGACTCAGATCATAAAGCTTCACCTGCTGTAAAGTGACTGGCCAAGATGCCTGTCAATATTTTTATCCTCTCACTGGGGGGACACTGAGCACTGGCTCACAGGAGTTTCTCAAATCCCAAAGCATGTTTCTCTTTTCCACTATGCCATACATTCAGCAAGGTCCTGCATTAGCTGTGGCCCAGGTGAAGGCTGCAAGGACGAGATAAGCTGTGCACACCTGAGCTCCAGCATCTGGGCAAACAGGGACCACTATCACAGCCACACAGACCTGGCACTTCCCAGCATCTCTCCCTGCAGGGTTTTGTACCTGCTAAGGATTTGTGATGTGGAGTTATCTAAGCAAACCTGAAAATAGTTGCTGTCCCTGGGTCTGGCTGGGAAAGCTGTTAATGAAAAAAAAAAAAAACAACAAAACAACAACCAAACCAGAGGTATGTTGTTTTGTTCCCAGGGATTTTTATATTTGGCTGAAAAAGCATCAGAAGTGTCTGAGGAAGAGTTAGCTGCAGATCCAGGGCCAGCAGTGGCTCCTTTCTGCTTCAGTCAGGGCTTCTGCTTGCTATTCATCTGGCTGGACTGTGACAGTGAAATACCAAGATTTGGACAAAGGGGTAAGGAAGAAGCCTTGGATTTCTGGAAGGGAGCTACTGCCTCGTGGTTTGTGCTGCTGCTTCTGCTGTGCAGAGGCTGGTTGCTGTCTCTTTGAGCTCTGAGCATCTGCTCAAACAGGGGGAAATGCAGGGTTGTGTTGCAGAAACACCTTGCTGAGTGCTTAGCTCTGCTCTGCTGGAAGGTTTCCTCCTCTAGCAGGAGGGTCCATCTCTGGTGACTCACATGAACTAGCAGCAAACCTGAGTTGCAAAGATTGGAGCCGAGTTCCCTGCCTTTGTGAGCTGGTGATGTTCATATCTAGCCAACTTGGTAGCACTTTGTTTACTCTGGGGTTGCTGACAGTGCTGCTCAGTGCTGCACATCTCTGAGGGAAAGGCTGCCTTGGCCTGTGTGCCCACTGGTGCTGCAGCACCATGACCTGCCCTGCTACCATTGCTGGAGCCTACACTGAAAATAACTCAGGATTAGCAGAGCAGAATGTGACTGCAGGAGAGACTGCAAGGACCCAGCTCTGGCTTTCTAACACACAGCTCCACAGGGACGTACACAGGAGGAAATGTGCCCATAGAAGACACTGAAATGAAGCAACCTCTGGGTTCTGCCCAGCCCTGTGTGTCCTGCTGCCTCAGCACGATGTGCCTGCAGCTGGAGCAGGGGGCTCAGCCACGGGGGTCACAGAGCTGTGATTTCCTGTGTCACACTGATTTGGCTCCTCTTGCCTGACAGCACAACCAAAAAGGAGAAGCCATCTCTTTAGGTAGCAATGAGGGATGACCCTTGGGCTTGTGGTTCACGTGCTGCAGTGGGACTGCCCGGGCATGTCCCTGGGCTGTGACTCCTGGTGTGACCCCGGGTGAGCTGCTGTGAGATGGACATGGCAATGCCTCTGAGCCATGTGCTCACGTCCAGCTGGCTTTGCTGAAGCATTCAAGCAGGTTTTGAAATGCTCCATCAGCCACGAGCCTGTATCTCTCTGGGCCTTGAGGAGTAGACAGATCTTGATTGAACCATCCTTTCTTTTCCTGTTTACTTTGCAAAGCTCCTTGGAGCTTGCACTGTTTGTACAGCCCTGGCCCAGCGGGACCTCTCCTGAGTTGTGTACTCTGTGTAAATACTGACACAGACTAAAGAAAAGCTTCCTTCTCTGTTTCATGGGTTCCTGGAGATGCTGACGCTGGTGATAAAGCCCTGCCTTTCACTGCACCCTCCTCACCCTGTCCCTAGGATGGTCGAGGACGTTCTCCATGGCACATGTCTACACCCTCACCCTGGTCCCTCTGTCCTGCCACGCTCAGGGTAGACACGTCCAGCTGTTTGGTGAATTTGGAAGCACTGAGGGCCCAAAGGGAGCCCGGGGAGTTGTGCTCAGCCCTGCCTGCAAGGCCAAACCGCCAGGTCTGCAGGGGAAGGCACCGTGCTGGTGGTGCCTGGCATGGGATGCTCCCTGGAGAGCTGCCAGGGCCTCACTCCCTCATCTCCTGCAGGCGTTGTCAGCAAAAGAGAGTCTGAAAGATTTAACTAATTGACTAAATGTAGCCTTTCCTGTCAGGGAGAATTAGGGGAAGCCTTTATCATGGTTTTTGGCCCAGGAGGCTGGAGAAGATGAAGCTTGCCACACGCATTTGCAAAAAAAAACAGGGTCACTTTCCCCTTCTTCAGGCCAGATGCCAACGAGGTGTGTTGTGATGAGATTAGGCAGGTGGCTGCTGTGAAGTGAGATTGCCCTGGCAGACCCTGCCATGCTGCTGACAGGGTTCAGCTGGAAGAAACCAGGATACCCTAGACACTTCCCCAGCCAGCCCTGCATGGTGGGGCTGCTGAGATCCACAGACATCGCTGCCCTTGCTGCAGTGAGGGCTGAGGGAACCTCCAGCTGGCTCAGAGCAGCCCATGGGGCTGGGCAGGGCAGGATGGGGTACAGAAGACGAGTCTGGAGAGATCAGGCACATCCCAGTTTCCTTCCCCCAGCAACATCTGTCCTGGAATGGAGACCTCTCACTGGGGCCATCACTGCTGTTTTGATGTCCCACTTGTCTTTGATCCCTGCTCCCTCCTTCTCCAACACCAGGGCTGAGCTATGGAATCCTTCCCCTCAGCACTTCTTCAGAAGCAGGTGACCCATCTGTCCTGCTTTGAGCCAGGAGGAAGACAATTTTCTTACTGATTTTGTTTTTACAGATAGTGAAGATGTACTTACAGACAACAACTCGATGTCTGCTCAAAGGGAAGGGAACAGCTTGTTTTCCAGGGAGGATGAGAAGCAGGGCAGCAGGGTGCTGTCCCAGGGTGCCAGTGCCACGCACATGCTGACACCTCCCTTCTCTTTGGGCAGCCCAGTGCCCAGACCAGGGCAGGTCTGTGGTTTTTGCTGGGTGTCCCAGTCACCCCAGGCAGCTCCTCAAATGTCTCCAAGCCCTGCTTTCCCACCGCTCCAACTCACAACACCATCTGCCCTGAGCTGTCAGTAGCCCTGCTTTTAAATGACCTTCTGTCTTATGTCATTGTGCTTTGAGGTTTACAGGGACATGGATTCATAAAAGTTTTGGTCTTTACTGCTCTCTGATGAGCTGAGCACTCGGGGTGCAGAGCTGCTCAGAGCTGCCATTGTGTGAGGGTAGCAAAGCACCAACCTGTGAGACTCCCTGTTTGGTTGTGGTGTTCCCATCTGGTGCACAGTCCTTCTCTGTCCTGGAGACCAGGCTGAGCATTCTCCAGAGCTGTGTTTTGCTGGCATGCAAGGCAGGCTTTTGGTTAATCTCTGGTACACTCAGCAGCACAGGATTTTGCCAAGCACAGTGGAAGCTTTTGCATTATATCATATTGACAATGTTTGTCTGCTGTAATAATTTGGCCACTTTTCCTATACATCTCCAGCAGTTACACTGCCTTTCTTTGTGAGCCTCTCTCTCCTGCCTGTCATACTGGAGTTGCTTTTCTAACACATTGGCTCCCTAGCCCTGTTATTACTTTTGGCACTCACTTTGCATCCCGATTAAGCACATTGGCTCCTGTTTCCTCTATTTCCTCCTTGGCCTCCTCTCAGGATTCCTCTTACCACTCCACTCTAGCACTGCTCTGTGTTTTTATTTATTATTGATATTGCAGTAGCGCCTGAGAGTCCCAGCTGAGCTCATGGCCTGATTATGAACATGACATAGAGTCTCTTGATATGCCCTTTTTTACTCTTCTTTTCCCTGACTTTGGCTGTTTATCCAGCCAGTGTGACACTGGTTTCTGGGGCTGGGATGGGGCAGAGGGCTGATCCAGCCCGTGAAAGCTGGATCACAGTTATCCCCTCAAGACCAGTGCTTCTCCTTGCCCATCTCCCTCTGGAAGAGCAAGGACATCCCTTCCTTGAGGACACCCAAGCCACACCAATCTGTTCAATTTTAGCTAATCTCTTGTTCACACCATGAGCATCTGCAGAGCCTGTTTGTCCTGTACCCCTCCTGAGGTCCCCATGCCTGCTGCACCCATCACACACCCGGCAGCAGATGCCAGGCACAGGACCAGGAATGCTGCAGCAGGCTGGCTGTGCTCCTCCCAGCATGCATATGCATGAGCACCTGATCCTCAACAGCAGCCAGGTCTTTAAATAGCAGGTAACTGCAGCTGAAGGCCTGGAGCTCAGCTGCCAGCACATCTACCCTGCTCTGGGGGACCAGTTTGGGGCCCAGGACAGTTGTTAAGGTACTTTATGGGTGGGGGCTTTTGTGCCTCACTCTGTTTTGTAGCTTAATTGCCCTGATTGTGACCATCAGACAGTGCTGTTATGGCCAGGGTAAAGCAGGGTTTCTAGAAAGGAAGAGGTTTGTTCTGGAGCAGGAAAAGGCTGTTCCTGGCCTGCCTTTCTACTCTCACTTTGGTTGTAGTTGGTTTAACAGGAATACAAGGTATTTTGGTGCTGTTTGTTGGTAAATGGTGAGAAATAAAGCAACAAAACACAGAAGGGATCTGTTGAGCTCTGAGCTGATGTGCTCAACCCAACCAGGTGTGGGTTGGCTTAGCCAGGACTGATCTCATGGGTTTTGCTGGTGGCCAACGCCAGGGTGACTGCTGTATTTTCCAGTAAGACACAGACTGTGTCTCAATTTTGCCTCTCTTTTGCCTTTTCCCAGGGTGACAGAGGACCTGATGGACCCGTAGGCGAGCCAGGGTCACGAGGTGTCAAGGTGAGTGCCAGTGGGTGGTCAGGTTGTCTGAAACTGTTCTTAGCTGGGTTGTGAAATGCTCTGAGCAGGGTCAAAGTCACACTATCCTCCAGGAATAGGGGATGTTCCATTGATCCCTGAGGATCAACCAGCAGGGATCAGTATTTTGTGCAGCAAGGGTAAAATCTGTCCAGTGTGGGCATCAGGGCCCTGGAGGCTGGAGTCTGAGACCCTGAAGACAGAGACAATCTACAAACACAAAAGAGCCTCTGCTAAAATAATGGGGTCCCTGGCAGGTGGGGTGTAGCTTTGCCTGGCAGTGAGTGAGCTGGGCTCTTACATCTGAACATAGCAGAGAAACTAGAGCAATTTAACATGACTGGTGAAATATGAGCAAAGGGAACACGTTTCTGTTCTGATGTACTTCGTGTTAATTAGGTCAGGATGGGAAAAAAAGCAGGGCAGGAGATAAGAGGTGCAAAGAGAGGCTGGCAGGGCCCCTGCCCCAGCAGCACCTGCTCCACAACAGGCTGGG